TTGTAAAACGCTTAAACGACATATTAAATCGCCTAGGCTCCGATTAGGCGTTTTAGGCACTAGGCATTGGATCAACCGCTTAACGCCTAGCGCTTTCTTGAACATTGGCGACGACAATGGAGAAGGATCAAATTGAAATCTAAGCAGGCGAAGACAAGGTAAAACTCTAAATCCTGTTCGATTTGGATGGTTAGGTTGAAACTAGTGTGATTTGATCCCTTTTCTCTGTCTCTCCAGTTTGTGTTTAGGGTTTGGGGTACTTAATCCTTGAAAACCGATCTGAATTTGGAATCAGTCGTTGATTTTTGGCTTGTTTTATGCACAGATGCTTACCATTCACAAGAGGAAAAGGGAAGAACAAGACCTCTACGAGATTGGTATATGTCTTTAACTCTCCTCTCACTATTGGAATCATATTTACTTGTTATGATACCATTACTAGTAGTAACAAATTCTCATGGTCCATAGTGTATCCTTTTGCGAAAACCTCAAGCAAGTGGAAGCAGTATGAGTCAATGGACACACCACAACGTCCTCACTTCGCTACAATGGTTCAGATGCCTCTTTCTATGCGCGAGTTTTGTGCTCTAGCTTTTATGCAAATGTTTTACGACATATCATATAAATTACATAATGGCGTTCCCTTAAGCCAAGTCGAACTAGAAGGCCACAAGGAGACACTTGTCTGTCTAGAGAATGAGGGATTCGATGTTACAGCTACTCTGTCTCGGATCGACGAGTTGTTGTTATCTCCTCGTAACCCAGAGGAACAAACATCAAGCAAAGGAGACTCTACTGTCAAGAAAACAACTCTCGTGAGGTGCTCTGGCCTCTGAAACAGTTGGTTTGGAGACTCTTTGGTGACTATCATCATAGTCTAAGCTTGTGTTTGTTTGCTTTAAACTCTCGTAAGGTGACCGGTTACAACTTGTGTTTTTTAGCTTTAAACTTTTCAGTTATGCAAACTATGATCCTCCTTGCCTTCACTTGTTTTTGTTAGTTTTTTTTTTTTCAAGCTTGAATCACTTTTCACAATAATGTATGTGATTGAAGAGACTGTGAACAAGTAAGGAAGAGGAGTAAAGTTGACGCATTGGTTGGTGCTGTAATCTCTCTTCAGAGTGAAACCACATCATCATCACAAGTCGACCAAGGCTAGTTCTTGAGCTTAAAAACACAGAGATCAAAGTTGTGAATTTGTTATACACTTCTTGAATTGAGAAAAACAAAAAAAATATGTTTTGTTTGTTCATGAATCTTGTAATGTAGAATTTTCAAAGAAATCATCTACTTTGCAGTATATATGCTTCTTCTGATAACATTGGGATTCCGGTTTGATTGATGAACCGGACTAAGTAAGTTTCTCAGATTAGTTCACACGTGTGGTAGTTGGCACGTGTTGGGTTTCTTCGGCTACGCTCTTCTCTTCTTCTTCATGCTCTTTCGTTTCAAAATTCAAACGTCTTCTCTTCACTTCACAGAAACTCTCAGATTTTTCAATCAATGGAGTTTTCTGAAGAACAAAGGCGAAGTGACGAGGAAAATCGATTAATGTTTGGGGAAAAGCGAAAGCTTTCTTCAGAAAACCCACAGAGACAACAGGATTTCAGGTTATCCAAATGTCGGAAGCTCGACGGTGGTGACGATGCTCGTTTCCAAGAAGGGAATCGGAGTTACGGATCCGACTCAGGATTGAGCGCCAGTGTGCCGGAAAAGTTCCGGGTCAGGCTCGAGATCTGCTCTGCTGATTCGTTTTCGGTGACGCCGGCTCAAGTGGAAGGGTTTCGATACCCGGAAGAGCAAGATTGCTTTCGTCAATTGAGAGAGATTCTTTCTGGGGTAAGTTCTTGCCTTGAGCTTCGTTTTGGTTAAAGGGTTTTGCCAAAATGTTGAAGATAAATCAAAAAGGAGGAATTTTGGTAGTCTCTGATTTTTAGGTTTTTATTGTGTTCGAATTGGTTTTTATCTCCAGGCGAATCCTTCACACTACACTCAAAATGATGATGGAGGAAAAGCTGGCGTTTATAAGATCAGAGATTACAGTATGGTTTCAGGATGTCTAAGAAGGTCAAAGATCGTCGAAGTTGAAGAGATACCTTGGATAACTTTTGCTGTTGCTGAGAAGCTTTCTCGGTCACTCATTTCTGGGAAATGGGAACCTTGTCTACCTGAACATTACACGGAGGAGAAGGTTGACGAACTGATTGATAATCTGCCAAGAAAACTTGTGAATTCCCTTTTGCCTTTCCAACTTGATGGGTTAAGATTTGGTCTACGGAGAGGTGGAAGGTGTCTCATTGCAGATGAAATGGGGCTTGGAAAGACACTTCAGGTGATAAGATCTGGTTTTGTGAAGCAATTACTGAAGCTTTGTATAGTAAAGTAGTATCTCTAAGTGTTTAATCATTTGTCAGGCCATTGCCATTGCTGGTTGCTTCATAAGTGAAGGTTCCATACTTGTTGTCTGTCCAGCTGTTTTGCGTTTCTCATGGGCAGAAGAATTGGAACGTTGGTTGCCATCTTGTTTGCCTGCGGACATACATCTCGGTAAAAATCACTACTGAATTTCCTGTCATTTCTCTTTCAATGTCTGTGTCTTCCACTTATCAACTACAGAAGCAGCAACTCTGCTCGTTTCCCCCTGTTTTTACTTTTCACTTTGCTCCATAAGAGCTCAAAAGCGAAAGCTGTGGATTGATTTTTAGAGCCATTATTTGCTATCTGTTTAATTCGACTTGAGTTTGATAAAACTTTTTGGTTTCAGTTTTCGGTCATCAAAATAATCCTGCCTATTTACCAAAATGGCCAAAAGTTGTGGTTATCTCATACAAAATGCTTCAGCATCTTCGAAAGACCATGCTTGAGCGAGAATGGGCCCTCTTGATAGTAGATGAATCTCATAACGTACGGTGTTCAAAGAAGAGTTCAGAACCATCTGAGGTATGTAAGACACTGTGACACTTTCTCTTATACTCCAAGTCGAGTTTTTGTGCTGTTTTTATAAGCTTGGTATTCTAAACACTTTCCGTTGTGTTTTGCAGATAAAGACAGTCCTTGATGTTGCTGAAAAGGTTAAGCACATAGTTCTGTTGTCAGGAACTCCTTCTTTATCGAGGTTGGGATATCTAAATCTTAGTGAAATCAGTATCTTCTGTTTGCTTTGAATAAATTTATTCCTAAATTTGTTTCCTTGGTGACCATAGGCCCTTTGACATTTTCCATCAGATAAACATGCTCTGGTAAGTCATCTGCAAACTTTGACGTAACTTTTGGATTCACACTACATCTGTTCAATATACTGACCTGATTCTGTCACCAGGCCTGGTTTGCTGGGAAAGGACAAGTATGAGTTTGCGAAAACCTATTGTGAAGTTGGGCTTGTGAGAGGTATTCAAGGGAAAATTTTCCAGGTAAATATGGACTTATGTTGTAGCCATTTGTGCCCTCATGATTCTCCTTTCTAGGTGCAGAATACTGACAGATGCTATATTTATTTCTTTTCAGTCACTTCCTTGCTAAAATGAAGTATGGTTCCCTTATCTTAGCTGATTCTTTTTCGTTTATGTTGTGAAATGGTAATGAATCTTTTGGTATGATGATTCAGGATTTTTCAAAGGGTACTCGCTTACAGGAGTTAAACGTACTGCTAAACCAAGCAGTGATGGTATATTTCTGGTTATTTGATTTCAGTTAGCATTAATGGTTTCATATCAATTCTGGATACTGGGAAACTTGTTTAGTCGTTGATTTTTCCTCAGAAAGGACCAAGTGTAGCAATCCATTAATTAAACCTTTATGAAGACAAAATACTAATTTAGATTTTTTGGCAGAAAACAGCATTTCCAACCTTCACATTTTAGTTAATTATCTGTTTATTACCTATGCTGTCCATAAAAGTGTGGGAAGATATGAGAAGAATATGACAATGATATCACTAATATGATATGCCAATTAACGTGTCTTGCTTTGTGTTGTGAGTTGGTACGGCCTATGTGATGTGAAATCTCTTTTCATTTTTTATAGATCAGAAGGCTGAAGCGGCATGTATTAACACAGTTACCCCCAAAACGTAGGCAAATTGTAACCATAATGCTAAAGAAGTCCGATATAGCTTTAGCAATGGCTATTGTCAGCGCGGCTAATCAAAAGGCTAATGAACAAAATGCTACTATAGCAGAAGTCACAGAAAACTCACATGAACCTAAAGGTATGTGGCATGTTTGATGTTGAATTATTTTTATCATCATTATCCAAAGCATTTCATTCATATTTACCAGTAACTCAAGCCTCAAGTTTCTCGGAGTTTAGATCTGGTTTAACCACTGTGGTCCATCTAATGGTTTAACACAAGCTGCCTTTGTAGGTATAGCTAAAAAGGCTTCTGGATCAAATAAAGCTGGACATATAAATGCAGAGGACTTGGATGAACCAAAAGACTGTATGTTCTAACTATTTTCTTTCTATGGATGTCAAGGAGGCGATTATTCTTCATATATTTGCACTCTTTTATTTCATTTTTCCTTTTGTTGTACTTTAGCTGACAAGGATAACCAACTATGTGGGAAACTTTCCTATCAACAACTTGGCGTTGCAAAGCTTTCTGCGTTTCGTGAATGGTTATCCCTGCATTCACTTATAGCGGGATCGGATTATATTCGAGAAGAAATTGATGAAGACACAAGCTCAACTAAGATGGTAATTTTTGCACATCACCATAAGGTTCTGGATGGAATACAGGTTAGTATGCTTCACTCTTCACTAACTCTGGAAATTCAGGAAAAAAACAATATGGAGTTTACATCTGTCTACTAGTTTGTTTCGTTCTGGCTTTTAAC